AGTGATGAAAAAGGTTATACCCAAATAGTGCTTTGATTATAATTGTTATATTTTCTTTCTGTAAACTGTTTAGGCACAGCTGGACCTCCTTGACTTTGGAATCCAAGAGTGATAGACCAGGTAACAAAAATTGATCTTTCAAGTCTATCATTTGCTTTGAATGATATCAAACTCACAGATTGTTATGATTCAATAGACTTGAATAGAAACATTGAATGACACATGCAGTCAACTCTAGAAGAACTAAAAATTATGGATGAAAAAAACAATAAAGTATACATCTATTAACTATTTAACTCAATTTGATTGTACTAATCCAAAAAAAAATTTTAACATCCCACATGAATAAAAGAAGAAAAAAAACATNAAATGTTAAAATTTTTTAACAAATATTGGAGTGTAATTCATGGTGTTATGGGAACATCCACTATTTTAGATCCATGGTATAAGTTGAGAATTTTGGAGTATTACTATGAGAAAATGTATGGAGGTGTGGAAGCTTTAAATGAAGTGAAGAGGATTAAAGAACTTTGCTTGGAATTGGTAGGTGAATATGAAACGAGACAAGGAAATGATTATGAATCACATCCTTCTCCTCCCCCTCTTCAATCAGATATTGATTCTAAATGCCCATTAATTGATGATCTCTCTGATTTTGATAAGTTTATACAAACAAGAGATATAACAAAAGCACGTGGGAGATTTGAGTTTGATCGTTACTTAGAAGATGATATGATGCCAAAAAGTTTAGATTTTGATATACTATCTTTTTGTAAGACAAGTGGTCTCAAGTATCCTCTGCTTTAAATGATTGCTAAAGATCTTTTTGCTATTCCTGTTTCTATCGTTGCCTCAGAATCTGCTTTTAGCACAAGTGGGAGGGTGATCAGTCCACATCGCANGATGAAACAGATAGGCATAGAACAATTGTGTGGAATCATTTCAAGAGGAAAACAATTGATGAGAAGTTAAAGGTTGAGTGCAATGAATGTAAGAAATTGCTTGTTGATGGTGCTAAGAATGGAACTACCCACTTGCATGACCATCTTAAAAGTTGTCTGAGGAAGAAATATGAAAATTTGAAGCAGTGTTTATTGGTACCAAACCAATTAAAGAAGGATACTGAGAAAACAATGGAGAACTGAAGATTTGTTCAAGAGGCGGGGAGGAGGGATCTTGTCAATATGATTATATTGCATGAATATTCTCTTAGTATGGTTGAGCATCACGGATTTCAAAAATATTGTCACATTCTTCAACTAATGTTCAAAATGATATCCCGGAATACTCTTAGAAGTGANAACTTGATATTGATGATAAGGTATATCGTTTTAGTTGAAATTTTCTCTTTGGATACCTAGAAAATTTCTCTTTGGAAGAATCTAATTTTTTTTTTCTTTTAATGATATAGGAAAATGATGTTGAAGAGGTAGATTCTACCACCACCGAGGGTGTTAAGTGATGGTTGAGTTGGTGTGAAGTTGGTCTTAAGAGATGTTGAATTGATTAAGATAATTCTACCATCCGTTATGTTATTTGTGTTATGTTGTGTAATATTAAATTATATCAAATTTAAGTAGTATTTTGGACATTTGTGATTTTTGTTATGTTCAAATATAGTATGCTACATTATGTTGTGTTAGATTATTTAGAATGTTATTGAATTATTTAAAATTTTAGATTTATTTAAAATTTTGGATTTATTTAAAATTTTGGATTATGTTGACTTGAACTTGGGCTTAGGTGTAGGCTTGGGCTTGGGCTTATGCTTGAGCTTGGGCAGGTACGGGAAAAGCGGGGACGGGGATGAGGATTATAAATTTACCTGCGGACGGAGATGAAGATGAAAATTATACCCGTTAGTGGGGATGAACCGGGAATGGACGAAGATTTTTTAAGCGGGTACGGGGATAAAAATTATACCCCCCGCCCCCACTTCGGTCCATTGACATTTGTATCCTAGATTTATCCCCTATGCGTGGAGAGCCAACTTTGCGTGTGGGTCCAGCATTAGTCCGGCCCGAAGGATTGGGATAGCTGGAATTCCGATAAAAAAAAAAAATCAATACCAGCCCAAGTATTGAGGTGCCCCATATCCTTAACAGCTGGGCTCTCTTGTGAATTTAGGTTACATTTCGAGGCATGCCTGCCGACCCAAGTTTAACTATAATTCTGCCACCAAAATCTATAAGTAAACTACTGCATTTTCGTAATCAACACACTGTCTCGATGCTTGGGTAGCATGGTCCCAACCTGTGTTCGACCTTTAATTCGTTCCTGTTCAAGGCTTTAGCAACTTATATACTCTCTTGATGTCTCACTTTGGGTCCCAGTATCGGAAAGTGATACTTTGGTTTGCTATCTTCACTTTTATTCAATAAAAATGGGTCTCACATGAAATTTTCTTATTATCTTATTTTTATTGTTTTATTAGTTTTTAATTAGTAATTGCAAATCATCCAAATTAAAATTAATAGCCCAGATTAAATTTTGAAATGGTATCATAGCCTTATCCCTCACTTCATATGAAAACCCATAATTTTCTCATTATTTTATCCTTGAGTTTTCCCTATAAATTGTATCATATAACAAAAAATCATAAGTAAACTTATACATATGACTCTTAAATTATGACACTTGTTTCACTTAAGCTTGTGATTTTGTGTGTGTGTGTGTGTGTGTGTTAATTTAACCATGAACTCTGTAATTGTGTCAATTGAACTCTTATATCTGCCTCCGTTAGATTGTGTCACTCATGTGACTATATATGACACAAAAAAAATAAAAAAACTCAATTGACATAATTAGAGAGTTTAATAACCCAATTGACAAAAAAAATAAAACTAGGGGTTCCATTGACACAAGGGTCATAGATATAATTTACTCTAACCATTTATTTAATGTGAGTGGCACGCTTTCGGCACTTTTCATTATAAAATCTAACATAATAGAAGGGTTCAATTAACACAATTAGAGAGTTCAAAAGCTCAATTGACACAAAATAAGTTCAAGAACTTTATTAACATAAAAATCATAATTTAAAGGTTATATATATATATAAGCTAGATTGTGTAAAGTGACTTATTTTATTTTAAAACCCTTAAAACTACAGTATTTAAGCTAGAGTAAAACAGACACATTATATCTAAATGTCTTTAAAGATTTATGTCACAAATTGTCTTCACTAAAGTTAACGGTGGGAAAATATCAAGGCCCAAATATCTTAGTGATCTTGAAGTATTCCAATAACAGAATAAATATTTTACAGACAACCCGTAAATTAATTGTTTACAGGCAGTCAATTAAAATTTGACAACTACATAAACACAAAAACTAATGCTGAAGATTTTCAATAAGTTTGTATAGTTGTCATATTTTGATTGGTTGCCGATAAACAATTGGGAATCCTCAACATTGGTTTTGTGTTTGTATAATTGTCAAATTTTGATTAACTATTTGTAAACAATTGGTTAAGGATTCTCAATAAATTGGTGTAGTTATCAAATTTTGATTGATTGCCCGTAAATAATTGATTTACAGACCGTCTGTAAATCAATTTATTCTTTTCCAATAATCACCATCACACACTAATTTTAGTATATTATATGTTAACAACTCAACACGAACAAAAGACATGAATGTATTATTCCGTGAAAATAAGATCAAAACTTCCCATGACAACGTTGTATCATTCAAAGTTGTAAAAAAAAATTGTGTCATTCAATTCCATTTTTTAGTCCTCTTTTTCAAATTGATCATGATAATGCCATCTTTACTCAGAGAATTCTATATAGCTAAAAGACACAAGAATAGTGAATAAATAAAATGAATGAATTGAATTTTCTTAATATAAACGTATACATTTTCCAAGCTTTTGTTACTTTAAAAAAAATTCTAAAAAATATTATCTATAATCCCCCACAAGCTCAAATTAGAGTGGAACATGATTGGGTCGATGGATCAAACAAAGCAGGCAGCAAATACTTCCTCCCATTAGNTGTGTGTGTGTGTGTGTGTGTGTTAATTTAACCATGAACTCTGTAATTGTGTCAATTGAACTCTTATATCTGCCTCCGTTAGATTGTGTCACTCATGTGACTATATATGACACAAAAAAATAAAAAAACTCAATTGACATAATTAGAGAGTTTAATAACTCAATTGACAAAAAAAATAAAACTAGGGGTTCCATTGACACAAGAGTCATAGTTTGAGGGTCATACATATAATTTACTCTAACCATTTATTTAAGGTGAGTGACGCACTTTCGGCACTTTTCATTACAAAATCTAACATAATAGAAGAGTTCAATTAACACAATTAGAGAGTTCAAAAGCTCAATTGACACAAAATAAGTTCAAGAACTTAATTAACATAAAAAATCATAATTTAAAGGTTATATATATATGCGCTAGATTGTGTAAAGTGACTTATTTTATTTTAAAACCCTTAAAAACTACAGTATTTAAGCTAGAGTAAAACATACACATTATATCTAAATGTCTTTAAAGATTTATGTCACAAATTGTCTTCACTAAAGTTAACGGTGGGAAAATATCAAGGCCCAAATATCTTAGTGATCTTGAAGTATTCCAATAACAGAATAAATATTTTACAGACAACCCGTAAATTAATTGTTTACAGGCAGTCAATTAAAATTTGACAACTACATAAACACAAAAACTAATGCTGAAGATTTTCAATAAGTTTGTATAGTTGTCATATTTTGATTGGTTGCCGATAAACAATTGGGAATCCTCAACATTGGTTTTGTGTTTGTATAATTGTCAAATTTTGATTAACTATTTGTAAACAATTGGTTAAGGATTCTCAATAAATTGGTGTAGTTATCAAATTTTGATTGATTGCCCGTAAATAATTGATTTACAGACCGTCTGTAAATCAATTTATTCTTTTCCAATAATCACCATCACACACTAATTTTAGTATATTATATGTTAACAACTCAACACGAACAAAAGACATGAATGTATTATTCCGTGAAAATAAGATCAAAACTTCCCATGACAACGTTGTATCATTCAAAGTTGTAAAAAAAAATTGTGTCATTCAATTCCATTTTTTAGTCCTCTTTTTCAAATTGATCATGATAATGCCATCTTTACTCAGAGAATTCTATATAGCTAAAAGACACAAGAATAGTGAATAAATAAAATGAATGAATTGAATTTTCTTAATATAAACGTATACATTTTCCAAGCTTTTGTTACTTTAAAAAAAATTCTAAAAAATATTATCTATAATCCCCCACAAGCTCAAATTAGAGTGGAACATGATTGGGTCGATGGATCAAACAAAGCAGGCAGCAAATACTTCCTCCCATTAGCACCATTCGCATTGTAGCTGGCACCAGTGGTAGGGTCGACCAACAAGTCCCCAGCATAGCCTGGGTAAGCTCCCTTAGCATAAACCCCAGGACAAGCCGAGGCAGCCTCTAGTGGTGCACCAGCTGGTCCCTGATAATAGCCATTTCCAAATGGGTTCGTGACCGTCCCAGCCAAAAGGCTAGCCAAGGTTATCACCATTCCAGCGGAACCTATATCGCCGTTGGGTGCAACCAAGGGTGGGCTCTGTGGTCCGTAGATGGGTTGGTGAAATGGCCAGGCACAGAAACCAGGACACTGAGTCTCCGAGTTACCAACCCAGATGTATGCAAACTTGTGATTTTTGCCCTCAACAAGGGCAGTTTTGGAAGAAAGAGACCCGTGGGACCCACATCTACTCGAACAAAACCCATCAACTACCACGTCAGATGAAGTTAATACCACATTGATGGCGTTGACCTGATCACCTGTAGCTGCCAACCGTTCGATTTGTTGACTGGTGAGTGATTTGCCCAAAGAGTAATTTTCATCAAGGACTTGATTCCCCATGGAGAGCTGGACTGAAGATGGGTTCTTGGAGTTGATCAGGCTATAGTATTTCTCGGTGGCTTTCCACCACTCGGCGACAGAGGGTTGGCTCTGAGACGACGGAGATGACAGTGAGGCGATGAAATCGGAGATAATGGCTCTCTGGGAAGACTTGAAATTGCCGTACCATATGACATTGATGGAGATTTTTCCGGTGAGAAGAGGACCGTTGTGGTATTGGAAGAGTTGGGTTTGCTGATCTTGGGTAGACTCAGTGAGCCTCCTCGCTGCCAATGCAAGGTTAAGCAACAGGGCAAATTGGAAGATTGGCAGAAGCATTTTGACAAACACATAAGAGGCCATTTTGTATATAAAAATTTTGATTCTATAGAAGGTGATATATTGGTATGCGAGGTTAAGAGTGGAGAGAACAAGAGGTGGGGAGGTTGTTTATATACTAGAGGATGACCATAGAAAGAAGCATCAAGGAAAGAAGGGAAAAAGTGAATCTATCGAAGTGCGAGTGAAATGCCAGCTTACAACGCGTTGTTTTAAAAGGTTTTGTAGGTGTGTAACCACCGACCAGAGAAAGAGACAAGATTGGGGCTGTCTGGCCAGTGCACGTTTGAGAATGGGATGCTCATGTACTAAGATCTACTTTGTCCTTGACGGTTGGGCTCGCAAATAAGGAATTAGAGGAAATCTGGAGACACGGTAAAACATAAATCAATCAATTAAATTAAAAAGGTGATGAGTGAATATATCTGAGAACAATGACAGAGTCAAATATATGATTTTAGATGGACATACTTTAAGTATAATAAATGAAAATGGTGTGATATATTTATATTTTTTATATTAGATTTGATACTTAAAAATTCATTAAACATAAAAGAAGTCTATTTGAAAAAAATTAATAAGATAATATCTATACATTAAGGAGCAATAATATAATTTATTTGATACAAAAAAAAATAATATTCTATAAGTTTTAATCTTTTTATAAATTCTATATTTTACTCATTTGTGGCTATATATTCTATAATTTTTGGATCAAATGAGACTTCAATAAATTATACCAATACTCTAAGGAATCAATTTTAGTTTACAAATTTTAAGAGATTTGATATGAACATTTTGTTTTTGTTTTTTTGTTCTAGTACCCAACTTGTTTGATCCAATAAATTTTATTTTTCATAAATCATTACAGTGCGCCCAACCAATCTAAAAAAATATATAAAATATATATAATTAAAAAAATAAATTTTTTTCAGGGTGGCCCTAGACCCCTCCTCCTTCTGCCACTGCTAGAGAAAGAGATTGAAGAGTGAGAAGAGGAACATAAAATTCAATATAAATAGTATTGAGAGAGATATTAGTGGTTGTTTGATAAGTTTATTTGAGACCGTCGGATGAGCTTGTTGAACCCACACTATTTTATATTATAGAATCTATTTCAATTCAAACCGCTCTATTTTATATTATAGATTATATAATATAAAAAAGGGCGGGTTCAATAAGTCCATCCGATGATCTCAAATAAACTCATTCAACGACCACCAAAATCTCTCTCAATACCATTTACTTTGAACTTTTGATTCAAGACATATGTAAAGTATGTTAGTTTGAGATTGTTAATTAAATAAATAAAATTAAAATTAATTATATTCAATACAAATGTGTTAATCAACGCCCTATTTTTTTTTTTTTAATCTGTTAAATTGATGAATTTTTTTTTAATCAAAATATTATAATTTTCTCTTTTACAAATTTAAAATGTTACACTGCACAGTTGATATTAATGACAAATTTGAACCATTTAATTATTATGTTAGAGAAAATCTTGTGATCCAAGTTTGATGTAATCTTTGACTAGGTGGGAGGGAAAATATTAAGAAAAAAAAAGTTAATTTCTTGATTGTTGAATGAATAAATTTGAAATTTGAGAATGAATTTGAGACCGTAGGATAGACTTATAGAAGCCACCATGTTTTTTATTATAAATTTAGATTTGACACGAATAAAAGCAATATTCTATAATTTTTTTTAATTACAAATTTTATATTTTACTCATTTGGCTATGTATTCCATATTTTTTGAACCAAATGAGGTTTTAACAAATCATATCAATACTCTAAATAATCAATTTTAGTTTGCTAATTTTAAGAGATTGATATGAACTTTTTATTTTTTATTTTTTTGTTCTAGTACCCAACTTGTTTGACCTAATTAATTTTGTTTTTCATAAATCATTGCAGTGAGCCCAATTAATCCAAAAATATATATAAAACTTATATGAATAAAAAGAAAAATATTTTTTCAGGGTGCCCCCAGACCTCTCTTCCTTTGCCATTGTTAGAGAGAGAATGTGAAGAGTGAAAAGAAAAGGGTAAAATTTAATATGAATGATTTTGAGAGAGATTTTGGTGGCCGTTGGATGAATGAATTTTAGACCGTAGGATAGGCCTGTTGAAGCCGCCCTATTTTATATTATGGATATTATAGATAAATCCACGAAATATGATAAAATTGACTTAAAACAAATGTTCATTTATATACATGTAATCAAAATCGAGTTAAATTTATTACAAACTAAAAATTTAATTTATCAAAAAGCATATCGCCAAAATATTTTCTATCAAAAAAATATCTACAAATATCATTTCTAAAATATTATTTTTTTAATTAGTACAATCTATTACAAAATTATTAATTTAAAAGAATATATTAGTGTTGGGTTTCCTTAAGATATAAAAAAAAAATAGTCCTGAATTTTTGATTCAAGATATGTATAAGACATGTTAGTTTGAAATAATTTATTAAATAAATAAAATTAAAATTAATTATATTCAATATAAATGTGTTAAGCAACGCTCTTATTTTTATTTTATCTTAAATTAATGAGTTTTTTTTAATCAAAATTTTATCATTGTGTCTTATACAAACTCAAAATATTACACTACACAGAAGATATTAACGATTAATTTGACTTATTTAATTATTATGTCAGAGAAAATATTGAATTCTAGGATCAGTTGTAATCGTTAACCGATTATGAGAGAAAATATTAAAGAAAAAAATGTATTTTCTTGACCGTTTGATGACTAAATTTGAGACCGTAAGATATGTTCTAAGATCAACCGTAAGATATGTTTTAAGACTATAATCGTTGACTTATTGGGGCAAAAAATATTAAGAAAGATAATTGTAATTTCTTAACTGTTAAATGAATGAATTTAAGACCGTTGGAAAAAATATTAAGGAAAACAATTGTAATTTTTTGACAGTTAGATGAATGAATTTGAGATCGTAAGATCGACTTGTTGAAGTCGCTCTATTTTATATTATAGATTTACTTTATAGGCTTCATTTCAAGGTATAGCTGCCGACCCAACTCTAAACTCAAATCGGCCACCCACAATGTTGAAATAACTAGAGCATTTTCTAAACTCAATTAATTGACACTCATATATTATCGAGTTTGTATCGGGCGATAGGGAGGTTATGCAGGAATCACCTGAATTTTGGATTTATCAGTTGATTGATTCATGTATATAAAATGTGTAAGTGGTATTTAATCAACTTCATTTTTCATTTAGTCGGATTTGTGTTAATTTATTTAGATAAATAAGTCTTATAGGTCCGTGCGTTCATTAGTCAATCCCTCTAATTCGCTATCAATTTCGTATTGAGTCTATATAATGTTTAGAGTTGCTTACCCTAAACAACCTAGGTAGTCCCTTAAGGCCTCCCAATGAAAGAAAGACCATAATTTTTTTAAAGAAATTTCTCTTCCTTGTTTCGTAAATGGTTTCCTAACATAATTTTCTTTTGAGAATCAAGAAACAAAGCATGTTTGCGAATGAATTGCAAGATCACATTGGAAAAAGACCGAAAAGAAATACTTGTGAAACTTTAAAACAACATTAAGAATATAAAAAAATTTCGTTTTTCGTATCGTTAAAAATATATTTGGATTTAAACAGATATCTTGTTTTGTCTCTTATCTTAAATTATTATTGTAAATATCTTTCCACAAAATCTGTTTTGAATCCTGCAGTAGCAAGATTTTTCAACCACAGGAATGCTCTCTCTTTACATGTGTCTACTAGAAAACATAGGGTCCTTGGCTCACCATAATCAGCTTAGACCTCTCAATTTCATATAATTTTGTAAAAATTGTTAAAAAGGACACCTCAAGGTCCTATTAGACTTGTTAGTCTAAATATCGTTGAAGGGTAAGAGAGGTTGTGAAGTTTGTTTCTTAGATATTTTGCAAAACCAAAGTAGAGCACGCGTGTCCTCATTAAAATAGGCATTGACATCGTCACATCCTTGTGGCGATATCCTATCACTCCCATTTAAAGTTTGATTAGGGTTTCTAGATGAAATATTAATCACTTGTTGTCATATTGATATGATGCGAGATATGCTTGTGTTTTCGTGTTTTTCGTATTGAGATTATGTGGAGCGCTTTGCCATTGATCATACCCAAGAAAAAAATTTAGAACCACTTATAATCTCTCTTAATCTTAATCGCTCTCAATTATAATTTAGAACCACTCCTTTTCTCCCTTAATATCTCACAAGTTTATTTTATTTTTGTTTTCATTATGTGCCAAAACTTGTAATTCTCTGTATTTTTCTTTAGTCAATTCACTTATCTACATATGTAAGTTGTTCAACATATTACAAGATGTATTTTAAAATTTTCAAAAATCTTGAAACTTGAGAATTCGGAAGAAAAACATTTTTAGTTAAATTATAAGTTTAGATTTGTTTCTGCATCAAATAGTTATAGTAAAAAGGAGGCAAAAAACCAAAAAGGAAACAATGTCAAACAGAAACAGAACTTTAGACAAATAAACGAATCAATGAATTCTTTTATATATATTTCATCGTGTACATCCTATTAATCTCCATATTCTAAACATAACCACTCTCCATTGTTTTAAACCAAAGTGGAACATGAAGAAGTTGAAGGATTATATAAAGCTGGAAGCAAGTACTTCCTCCCATTCGCACCATATGCATTGTAGCTAGCACCAGTTGTAGGGTCCACTAACAAGTCCCCAGCGTAGCCTGGATAGGCCCCCTTAGCATAGACTCCAGGACAAGCTGAGGCTGCCTCAAGTGGTGCACCCGCAGGTCCTTGATAGTAGCCATTTCCGAAGGGGTTCGTGGCAGTCCCAGCCAAAAGACTAGCCAAATTTGAAACCATTGCGTCCAAACCCAAATCATTATTGGGTGCACCTAGAGGTGGAGTTTGTGGTCCGTAAATGGGTTGGTGAAATGGCCAGGCACAGTAACCAGGGCACTGAGTCTCGGAGTTGCCAACCCAAATGTAGGCAAACCTGTAATTTTTACCCTTAGCAAGGGCACTCATAGAGGACCCATGGTTCCCACACCTACTCATACAAAATCCATCAA